TTCAGTATTTGTTAGATATTTTCCCATTATCCATGTTCCAAGAAATATTTTCAGTTTTTCAGTATTTGTTAGATATTTTCCTATTTTCCATGTTCCAAGAAATATTTTCTGTTATCCAGCATTTGTTAGATATTTCCCATTAGCCAATGTTCCAAGAAATATTTTCTGTTTTTTAATATTTGTTAGATATTTTCCCATTATCCATGTTCCAAGATATAGTTTCTGTTTTTCAGTATTTGTTAGATATTTCTCATTATCCATGTAACTTTCTGAAGAACCATGGTAATGTTAACAATGAATTAAGTAGCAAGGTTGATTAAGCTCTATATCCTTGGAGAAGGTAATTTTCTATATCCTGTAGTGATTCTCAGTTTCTGGTTATTGAAATATTATAGCTAAGAATTTGTATAGATTTTTTTTTTTTTTTCTGCTTATACATGCTCTTCTATGTCTGATTCTCTCACTTCCCGGCTTTTCTAAAGTCTTAATATCAGGGGATCGCTGACTTCTTTCTAATGTTTTTGCTATAACTGTAAGCTTGGTTCTAGTTTGTATATTCTTTGATTTTCCACAGAAAGAGAGGAAGAGACAATTGCTTTTTCTGCATCAATCAATATTTATCAATCAGTCAGTCTCTAAATATGCCGTAGACTTTTTTCTTTCAGTTGTCATATCTGAGCAAATTAAAACCATCTCATCGAAAGAGAACGAACAAAAAAAAAAAAAGAGAAAAGAAATCCTCTCTAGTTACTGTTTAACTTGCAGTCTTTTTTAATCTTTTTTTTTTAAATTAATAATCTTTCTTTTTCTGTTTTTCATTTAATCATCCATTTATTTCTGCGTCTCTGCGCTGTAGACGTCAAAATGTAGTGCGATTTTGGCTGAGACCTTTGCCTGTTCCTTCCAATGTGTCACTACCCCACCGTTTAGCGGGCAACCACCCCGCACTTGCGACTGTCAGTCTTTACCTTCCCGTCGTAATTCCAGCATATTTTAGCGCGTTAATCCCCTATCGCTTAGTAGATTAAGAAAAGATTAAATTAATTATATCGTCGGGGGTGAAACTTATACTTCGATGATGGCTTCACTTCTTTGCCGTTTAGAGATTGAGCTTAAGAAGTTGTAGCGCACTTCTTATTACCCTTTTTTTTCATTATCACCTCCTTCTTCTTCTTCTTCTTCTTCTTCTTCTCCCCTTCTTCTCCTTCTTCTTCTTCTTCTTCTTCTTCTGCTCCTCCTTCTTCTTCTTCTTCTTCTTCTTCTTCTTCTTCTTCTTCTTCTCCCTTGTTCTCCTTCTTCTCTTCTCCCCTTCTTCTTCTTCTTCTTCTTCTCCTCCTTCTTCTCCTTCTTCTTCTTCTTCTTCTGCTCCTCCCCTTCTTCTCCTCCTTCTTCTTCTTCTTCTTCTTCTTCTTCTTCTGCTCCTCCCCTTCTTCTCCTCCTTCTTCTTCTTCTTCTCCTCCCCTTCTTCTCCTCCTTCTTCTTCTTCTTCTTCTGCTCCTCCCCTTCTTCTTCTTCTTCTTCCCTTGTTCTCCTCCTTCTCCTTCCTCTTCTCCTCCTCCCCTTCTTCTTCTTCTTCTTCTTCTTTCCCCTTCTTCTTCTCCTCCTCCCCATTCTTCATCTCCTTCTTCTTCTCCTTCTTCTTCTTCTTCTCCTCCTTCTTCTTCTTCTACTACTTTTTTCTTCTTTTTCTTTTACTTTTTCTTCTTCTTCTTTCTGTTTTTCTTTCTTTTTTCTTCGAGCATTTTCTTCTTTTTCTTTCTTTTCTTACTTATTTTCTTCCGTTTTTCTTTTTTTTTCTGTTTTCTGGCATTTTCTGTTTTTTCGTGCAATTTCTTCTTTTTCTTTCTGTCTTTCATTCTTTTGTCGCATATTTTCTTCTCTTTTTTTTTTTGTTCTTCAGCTTTTTGTTCTTCTTTCTTTTCCCGTGCCTTTTCTTTATTCTTCTTTCTTTCTTTCTTTTTTTCATCACGTATTTCTTCTCCTTCTTCTTCTTTTACTTCTTTCTTTCTTTCTATCTTTTTTCCTCGAGTATTTACTTCTTTTTCTTTCTTTTCACGCTTATTTTCTTCCTTTTTTCTTCTTCTTTCTTTCTTCGGAAATTGTCCTCTTTTTTCTTCTTTCTTTTCTCTCGCATTTTCTTTCTTTTTCTGCCTTTCTTTTTTTTCGTGCATTTTCTTCTTTTTCTTCTTTTTGTCTTTCATTCTTTACTCGCACATCTTTTTCTCATTTTTCTTCTTTTTCAGCTGTTTGTTCTTTCTTTTCTCATTTTTCTTCTTTTTCAGCTGTTTGTTCTTTCTTTCATCGCGTACTTTTTCTTCTTCTTCTCTTTCTTTTCTTCTTTCTTTCTTTTTTCTTCCTCCTGCATTTTCTTCTTTTTTCTTTTTTTCTCACGTATTTTCTTTTTTCTTCTCTTCTGTCTTTACTCGTGTATTTTCTTCTCTTTTCTTCTTTCTCTCGCATTTTCTTTCTTTTTCAGTCTTTCTTTTTTTCCGTGCATTTTCTTCTTTTCTTATTTTTCTCTTTCATTCTTTTCTCGCATATTTTCTTCACATTTTTCTTCTCCTTCAGGTTTTTGTTCTTCTTTCTCTGCTCATTCATTTTCTTTTTTTCTTCTTTTGCATTCCTTCTTTCTTCACACATTTTTTTCTTTCTTTTCTCGCACATCCTCTTCTCATTTTTCTTCTTGTTTCTTCTTTTCTTGCACCTTTTCTTCTCTTTTCTTTTTCTCTTCTTCTTTCTTTCTTTCTTTCTTTCTTTCTTTCTTATAAGTGTTATTTTTTCATCTTTTTCTTCATCTTTTTTCTTCTTCTTTCTTTTCCGCGCATTTTCTCCTTTTTTTCTTTCTTTTCTCGCAGATTCTCTTCTCATTCTTCTTCTTTTTCAACTTTTTTTCTTTTCTCGTGCATTTTCTTCTTTCTTTCTTCACACATTTTTTCCCTTTTTTTCTTGATTTTCTTCATTTTTTCTTGTATTTTTCCTTCTTTTTTCTTTTCACGCACATTTTCTTTTTCGTTGTCGTCGTCTTCCTTCCCTTTTTTTTACACGCTGTCCCTGTTACAATTTCTGCAGCGTCTACTTCTCTCACATGTAACCTTCGACTTTTTTCTTCTTCTTCTTCCTTCTTCTTCTTCTTCTTCTTCGTCGTCGTCGTCGTCGTCTTCTACTTCTTCGTCATCGTCGTCTTCTTCTTCGGCTCCTCCTCCTCCTCCTCCTTTTTCTTCTTCTTCTTCTTCTTCTCCTCCTCCTCCTCCCTCTTCTCTTCCTTCTTCTTTTTCTTCTTTTTCTTCTTCGTCGTCGTCTTCTACTTCTTCGTCGTCGTCTTCTTCTTCGCCTCCCCCTCCTTCTTTTTCTACTTCTCCTCCTCCTCCTTCTACTTCTCCCCTCCTCCTTCTTCTTCTACTCCTTCTCCTCCTTCTTCTTCTCCTACTCCTCCTCCTCCTCCTTCTTATTCTTTTCTTCTTCTTCGTCTTCTTCTCCTTCTTCTTCTTCTTCTCTTCCTCTTCCTCCTTCTTCTTCTTCTTCTTCTTCCCCTCCTTCTCCTCCTCCTTCTTCTTCAACTCCTCCTCCTTCCCCTCCTCCTCCTCCTCCTCCTCCTTCTTCTTCTTCTTCTTCTTCTTCTTCTTCTTCTTCTTCTTCTTCTTCCGAATCTTACATTTTTCCTTCTGGTTCGGTGATAAATATCTGTTATTAATACAAATATAATTATATTTTCTGCTTGCTGACTTTTCAAAATATCATTAAGCAGTAGAATCGGTAAGATTTTTGAGGCCATAATCAATAAAAGAAAAAGATCATCGGGCACATAGAAATGAAGAACCTCCTCAGCGACAAGCAGTATGCGTTTCAGTTGGCCCGATCCACAACTGACGCCCTAACTACCATCACTCACAGAATCAGTGAGGCTCTTGACGACAAACACACCTCGAGGAGCATAACATTAGCGTCCTGGGTATGACGATAAACTACATCCGGGTCCTGGGTAAGACGTTAAACTACGTCCAGCATCAAGGCCTCTGATCAGGAGGTTTTGAGGAGCGTGGAACCACCTCTTAATTGCTGGTGTTCCCAGGTCCAACATGATCCGGGGTGGTAGCACCTGTTAGGGTGCCAGCTATGGGCAAATAGTTAACCCCGAAACTGGGGTAAAAACACTATTAAAATGTAAAAATAGGTTTTAATACTAGAAATACTTTGTAAAAAAAATATTATCAGCAATAAATTTTTGAAGAAAAAACACTATTACCAACAATACACTTTTGAAAAAAATATTACCAACAATACGTTTTTGAAAAAAAGGATTACCAACAATACATTTTTGGGCAAGATTATTACCAGCAATATATTTTTAAAGGAAAAAAAATATTACCGGAAATAGATTTTTGACAAAACAAAATATTACCAGCAATAAAAATTTTGTCGGCATTAAATAACCCATTGAGGTGTTGATATACCGTAAAACAAAACAAACCAAACCCAAACCATAACAATAGATATCTCAAATGCCTTCGACAAGTTGTAACTCAAAAGTTTACTATACAAGCTCTCCAGTTACGGAATCACTGGAAGGCTCTTCTCGATCATAAAATCCTTCTTAGCAGATAGGTCCCTGAAGTATAGGCACAAACGTTGTTTACATTCAACAACCACATTCAGTGTAACCTCTCACTTGAGTGGCTCTTGGATCATGTGGAAATAGCGTAATAAAGCTGAAAAACTTAGGTTAAAGGTCATCTAATAAAAACATGTCAGGAAAGAAACAATGAAACCCTGATTCTCACCAAAGTCAAACCACAATCTCGAGATAAGAAATCGGAAAGCCGATATAGAGATATAAGTCTTACTAATTAATCCATAGATGTGGGGAGAACAGGTGGATCCATACCTTTTCCCGTGGATATTTGTGCGTAAGTGAATGCAACGTACCCAACTGGAATTAGAACTCGGTTCTCCAATTAACAATTACGAGCCATTATTCATTACACCATCCTCCACATCCAAACTTACAGTACTAGACATTCCTAAACGGACACCTATCTAGGTACTGACCAGGCTTGACGTTGCTTCACTTCGGTGATCGTACGGGGACTGGTATTTGAACGTGATATGGCCGTAAGCCCTTAATCTCTTCAAATATAGTCTCATCCGTTGTTTGCATTCAACAACTTCATTCAGTGTAACCTCTCACTAGAGTGGCTCTTGGGCCATGTGGAAATAACGTAATAAAGCTAAAATCTCAGGTTAGAAGTCATCTAATAAAAATATGTCAGCAAAGAAAATTATGAATCGATATTCGTCTGTGTGTGTGTGTGTAATGGCGTTTATGTACGCTTAACTTGCTCAAGCTAATAATAATGGGGTCTGGAATTTAGAACAGTTGTGTGTGCTCTCCACTAATTTACAACTGCTTACGGTCATATCACATTCAAACTCTGATTCTCACCAAAGTCAAACAACATTCTCGGAATGAAAAATCAGAAAGCCGGCATAGAGATATGTCTTACTAATTAATCCATAGCTGTAGGGAGAACATATAGATCCATACCTTTTCCCATGGATATTTGTGCGTAAGTGAATGCAACGAACCCAACGGGAATTAGAACTCGGCTCTCCAATTAACAATTACGAGCCATTATCCATTATAGAAATTGTACATCCAATTTTACAGCATTTGGTGTTCTGAAGCGGTCACCCATCTTGGTACTTACCAGGCTTGACAGTGCTTAACTTTGTTATGACGTTATTTCATTAAGTAAATGTTTGACACTACATGCAAATCCAAACTTACCGCACGTGGTATTTCCAAGGAGTCACCCATATAAGTTCTGACCAGGTTCGATGTTGCTTAACTTAGTCTTGTGATATATATTTTTTAATCGTTTCTTTAGCGGCATATCAACTCTATATGGGTCATTTAATGCCGGAATTTAATTTTCTTGGGAGTATTAATTTCTTTTACAAAAATGGAAGGCTTGTAAATTTTGTTTAGCTTTTCTTTAACAAAAAAATTATTGCTGGTAATTTTTTTACGAAGAAACTATATTGCTAGTAATTTTAAAATAAAAATGTTTACGCTCTAATGGTGTTTTAACCCCAGTTTGGGGCTTAACTATTTGCCCATAGCTGTGCCCTTAACAGAGCTTGTTAGAGCGGGCCTGGGGACCACTGCAATTAAGAGGTAGTTCCACGTTCCTCAAAACCTTCCGATTAGAGGACTTGCTGCCGGATATAGTTCATCGTCATACCCAGGAGAATTATTTTATGACTATGTATTAATTCTTGGGGGATCAGTTTATTACTTAATGACAATAGGAAAACCATTGCCCACTTGGTATTCAGTAGAATATAATTTTAATTCTATTTTAAAGTAGCCATCAAAATATATGAAATTCTTAATTTGTTAATGCTTTATTATTTTTAGAAGGTTTTTATATGTCAGTTTTGTAATATTTGATTGAGTGATTTGTTCTTTTACAGTTTATCAACCCTTTCCAGTTTATTTAAAGTTAGAAATTTTTTTTTTTTTGTTAGTCAATAATGGTTCATTTATAAAAAGTCTTACTAATTAATCCATAGATGGAGGGTGAGAAGAGGTACGCTCAGACTTTTCGTAAGAGTATTTGCATGTAAATGAATATAACGAACCCAACTGAAAATTGGAACTCGGTTCTTCGATTAAGAATACTGGGCTATTATTTAGTACACCACCCGCACATCGGCGTTTACATCAGCTGGTATTTCCAAGCGGTCAACCAGGCTTAAGTTAAATACATTTTCCTGTTATTTATATTTATTCATTCTAGTTTAACAATTTAATAAAAATATCAAACTCATACTCCAGTTTTTGTCTACTAGAAACTAATATTAATTATCATAAGATTCTAATTTAATATTAGCTTAAACAAGTGTTAAAAATGGCGCCATGTATTAGGTCCTTACTGTTATTAGGTTTGGATATGTGAGTTTGAAATATATTTTTCCAAATATTTTATTCTATAAATTGACAGGTTCTATATTTCACACTGATGACAATTTCTGTCTGAATCAATCAATCTATCTATCTATCTATCTATCTATCTATCTATTTTAATATGCAACTATCTATCTGAGGCCGTTCATATCTATCTATCTATCTATCTATCTATCTATCTATCTATCTATCTCAATCCGTGTATGGCTATCTAAGTCTTTTCATATCTATTTCAATATGCAACTATCTATCTGAGGCCGTTCATATCTATCTATCTATCTATCTATCTATCTATCTATCTATCTATCTATCTCAATCCGTGTATATGGCTATCTAAGTCTTTTCATATCTATTTCAATATGCAACTATCTATCTGAGGCCGTTCATATCTATCTATCTATCTATCTATCTATCTATCTATCTATCTATCTATCTATCTCAATCCGTGTATGGCTATCTAAGTCTTTTCATATCTATCTATCTATCTATCTATCTATCTATCTATCTGTCTGTCCACATCTTCTTTCTCCTCTTAGCTTTCTTTCTTTCTTTCTTTCTTTCTTTCTTTTTTCTTCTACAGAGTTGTTTAGCTTTCTTTTATCCCCCCCACTTTGTGGAGTTCTTTGTACTCCTCCTACACCTCCTACTCCACCTCATTCCCTTCTTTCTCCCATAATTTTCTTTACTCATTCATCTGACCTCCCTCTCATTATTTTCTTTGTTTCATTTTCTCTTTTAAACTCTCTCTCTCTCTCTCTCTCTCTCTCTCTCTCTCTCTTCTGTTCCTTTGCTTTTTCTTAATTATTTCCATTTTTTTACTCCTATTACTTTGCTTTTTAACTTATATCGCTTTCTCTTAGCTTTCTTTCTTTCGTTTTTTTCCTTCCTTACTTTCTTCCTTCCTTCCTTCCTTTATTGATTGTCTCTTCTCTTTTTCTCTCTTTCTTTCTTCTTTTATTCTTTCTTTTTATTTTTTCTCGCTTGCCTCTTTTTCCTTTCTTTCTTTTCTTTTTTTTTTGCTTGTTCGCCTCTTCGTTTCATTCTTTTTTGCTGGCTTGTTCGCCTTTTCTTTTATTTCTTTCTTTTTGGTTCATTTATTCATTCTTTCTTACTTTCGATTCTTTCTTTCTTTCTCTTAGTTTTCTTTTTCTCCTCCTTTTCACTTTTACCATATTTTTTTTTCTTTTTTTTTTCTCTTCCCTTCGTCTTTCTCTTCTACTTCTTCACCGTCTGTTTTGCTTAACTCTCATCTTTGTCTGCTTTTACTTCTTCTTTGTATTTTTATTTCTTCATCTTTCTTGCTTTCTTTCTTCGCTTTCATTTTTTTGTTTTCTACATCTTTTTCTTCTTCTTCTTCTTCTTCTTCTTTCTTTCTTTCTTTCATTCTTTCTTTCTTTCTTTCATTCATTTCTCATTCTTTCTTTCTCCTCCTCTTTCTTCTTCCTATTCATTTTTTTTGCTTCGCACATCTTCTTTCTACCCCATTTCTTTCCTTTTATCATTGCTCTCTTTCCAACCATCTTTCTTTCCCTTATTTGTATTCACCTTTTCTTCTTCTTCATTTTTCTTCGTTCAGTTTTTCTAGTCATTTACTTACGCAAACTTTATGTCGATATTTTAAAGCAATAATCTTCTATAATCCTGATGATAAATTTGATTATAAATCGTTATTGATACCATCCTATTGAACTTCGTTTCATTTCTTTATTTTCGTATCTTTTCATTTCTTTTATTTTCGTATTTTTCTCTTAGCCGTTCATATTTTTTTTAAGAAACTGATAACAATTTATAATGCTTGTAATCACTACGCCAACGAAGATTATCCTTATAGGAGCGCAACCCAAAATATAATTTAGCGGTGAAGTGGGCAGGGTGAAAGATGAAAGAGGTGATTGACAGTCTGTGAAGGTAAGGACGAGTTCGGGTAAAAGTAACAAGTCAACTGATGATTGGTTGAAAATAATTATCTCCCCTTTCTAGCCTCTCATCCAACCCCAGCCAAATCCTCCAACTGTCAGACTCTTTTACTCGACTTACGATGAAACGATGTTCAATTAGAAATGATAAAAGCTAAAAGATAAAAAAAATTAAAACAATAGAAGTGGTGCTTGTTAAATATTGAACCAATGTCCGCCATTTTCTTTCACGTTCCGATTTCTCTCAATTCTAGTTTGTTTTTTGTTTTTATGTAATTTTAATTTGTGTGTGAACAAACCTGTCTTTTTCTTTTAAATTCACATACGAAAGAGAACACAAATTTGGTTTTGTTTTATTTCTTTTTAGAGAGATAATCGCTAACATTTGTTCAATTTTATTAATTAAAACTGAAATTTAAAAAACAAAAATAATTTGCTTACGGTTGTCTAGTTGTATTTTATTTAGGCCTGTGTTGTTTTTGTAATTGTAATATAGTAACAACTCTGAGTGTATGCTTTTTTTTTTACTAATTCAGCTTTATTGCTGAGTAACGTTTATTTTATTGTGATGGATGGGTAAAAGCGAGAGGGGATATGTGATCTGTTTATTTTGTTATCACACTAATCTGCAAGAATCTATTTCTGTTTCTACTTCCAAATCTTGCAGGATACTGAGAGCGTTCTGAACGAGCCAAAAGTCGACACCCGAAATATCGTACTTTATATGGTCTTAGTAGCTTGCTTACCTTCCAAACATCTCAAGAGAGGGTATAGCGACCATACGTACAAAGAGTGTATTTCCAAGAGGAAACGATCCAGTGATTGCGCAATGGAGTCTACATATATAATTTGCTGGCCAATTTAGAAAATTACAATTTAGTGGAAATATACGGCTACAAAGACCCTGACTGCAATGTCTCGTGGGTACCGGTACTTTAGCATCGATCGGATTCTCTGGAGTACAGGCTAAGATCAAGGAAACCCCAAACACACAATATATTGAAACATCGTCGCAAAATGGAGCATATTGTACCCTATTATATGTCTGTATGGTTTCCAATAAGTACTAAGCTCTAGTTAAATTATAACACAAACACTAAAAACAGGAAATAAATTATATCCTTGTGTATAATACGACTTCGTAGTACAGCTATCCCTACGTAATTTTATTTTGAAAAGTTGTATCCATTAAATTCTCAATGTCGTCCATATATTCCATAAAAATATTTT